ATCAAGTCTTTGCCCCAAAGTGCCCGTGGTCGGAGGCCTTCTTTGAACATCCCACACACTGGGGGTCAAGTTCAAGGCATCAAGGTCAGCATGAGGCTCTCCTCTCCCAGGTGGTGGATGTCAGCCTATGCTCCGAGGCTGGTCTTGTCCCAGCCTCTGAGATGGTGCCCCACATGGGGGGACCATTCAGATATGAAACAATCACGGGCCTTAAAATTGTTAACCAGGAGACTGGCAGGCAGGAGACGTAACTGGCAGTACTAAGTCACCACTGAAGGGACTGTAAAACAGCTCATCTTTCTGCACAGATGTACCCACCAATGTTCCTGGCAGCACTGCTCACAACAATCAGAGTGAAAACAGACAGCAGCCTGGACTGTAGCATAGTGAGTAAAAACACCACCTACATCCCACTTGGGAGCCGGTTCAAGTCCCGGCTGCTCCTCTTCTGATCTAACTCCCTGCCAATGCATCTGGGAGGGCAGCAGAGGGCGGTCCAAGTGCCTGGGACCCTCACCCAGGAGACCTGGAAAAAGTTCTTGGTTCTTGGATTCAGACTGGCCCAGCTCCAGCCGTTATGGCCATTTGGGGTATAAACCAGTGGATGGAAGACCTGTCTCTCCTTCTCTCTTTTTGTGCCTTTCAAATAAATAAATAAATCTCTGGAGGAAAAAAAAATTGAAAACACATAATTGGTATGACTTTTAAAAAACTGCATCTCTGCCCTCTCCTGATATCTACAACCTCCTCGCCAGTGTGTCCTCCCGCAGTCTTCCTGGGGATTCCGCCAAGATCACGCCAGCACAGGACATGACCGCCAGCACAGGACATGACCGCCAGCTGCTCTCAGCCAGAGAAACTCGAGTCCAGCCTGGGCAAGTAGGATTTCCACCCAAGTCCTGCTTATAACGTAGCCTGGCAGGCAGCAGGCATTCTGTGAATGAATGAAGGAAAGAAGAAATGCCTGGCCCACACAGCAGAGTGTGGAAATTCTCCTTGCAGGCACAGTGTAACACAGGGATCCCAGCCATGGCAAGGCGCTGCCAGGAGGCAGGCTACCAGCTGCCTCGCCTGTGGTCAAACCACAGGAGTCCAAGAAAGCCCAGGAGGCTTCCTGGAGGAGGTGGTCAGCAGTAAGTGGCTCCAGGCAGAGGGGCTGTCAGAGACCAATGTTTCCTGTCTCCTGCGAGAGAAGCCAGATAATTTGAGGCCCTCATAATCTGAGAACCAAGACCCCATTACATCCCTGGATCAGCCTCCCAGGCCCCAACCCAAGGGAGTAGGCTAAAAGGGAGCTCTTTACTGAACCTGTTGTCAGAGAGCACATATATAAATGCCGCATCTGCCCCGCCTGGCAGAGGCAGAGAGGACGGGCCAGCAGGCAGTGGGGACGGGAGTGGGGCGCCCAGAAGAAAGTGATGAACATAAGCTGACCCATGCCTCCCTCTGTGACCCAGCAGGAAACCCCGTGTCACCTGGCCCCGGGGAAAGAGTATAGGAGGCAAGTGGGGACAGGGAGGACAAGGACAGAGCCTATAACGGTGGGTGCGTCACCTGCAGAGCCACCAGCTCCCACCACTTCTCCCCCTACTCTCTGAAATCCATCTTCCGTGTTAGCCAGCTCTGCCACTGCCGGCCTCGTTTCCCTAACTTTCCACGGCTCTGACTCAATATCCTGGACCTGGACGGATTAGGCCCGCGGGAGGCCAAGGGGAATAACCGCCGCCTGAGCCTTGGAAGGACGCCACCGGAGGCAGGCAGGGCCTGGACAGAGGCCGCCAAAGCCCCACTTCCAGCCGGCAAGCTGATTCACGGCGAGACCTGGGCAGTGGCACCGGTTTCTACTCCCTCTGCACGGGTCCATTCTTGGGGGCGAAAGGGGAGGGGCAGCATAGGAGAGGCCAGGATGGGGACCAGGAAAAGTCAACTTTCTAAGAGGAAGCTGATGGAGAGGGAGGCTCCTGGAGACTCAGAGTGGTCAGGACAGCAGGACAGCTTTGTACCAAGGGAGAGCTAGCTAAGCTTCCACCTATGGTGCTGGCATCCCATACAGGCACTAGTTCAAGTCCCAGCTGCTCCACTTCCCATCCAGCTCCCTGCTTGTGGCCTGGGAAAGCAGCAGAGGATGGCCAAAGTGCCTGGGCCCTGCAGTCACGTGAGAGACCTGGAAGAGGCTCCTGGCTTCAGACTGGCCCAGCTCTGACAGTTGCAACCAGAGGATGGAAGATCACTATATCTCTCTCCATCTTTCTCTACAATTCTGCTTTTCAAATAAAAAATAAATAAATCTTAAAAAAGAAAAAAGAAAGAAAGAAAAAGAGGAGCCCCTCAGCCTCCTTCTGGGACAGAGCAGAGTGAACACTCAAATGAAGACAGACAGGAAGAAGTGACACGCGCTAGTTCATGAACAGACGCCGCACGCGGCCACACTGAAATGCTAAATGACTTGGAAGACTAAGCACATTTTTCTTGATACCCCAGTTAATAGACTTGCTTAGTACTGAATCCCGATGCAATTAACAAAATCGAATGACGCATGATGATAAATCGCCACTAATTCAAGCAACCTCCAGGACTGGCGTTCTGGGTCCCAGCCAGGCTGACCATGCCAAGGGGAGGCTGCAAACCAAATGAGGAGTGGACACAAGCAGCACACGTGCGCCCTCCTCTGAACTGCTTCCCCAGGGTGGCTGTATGGTATGCTGGCTCTGCTTCCTTGCAATACCTGCATCTCATACCAGAAGACCTGGGTTCGAGTCCTGCCTCTGCTCCTGCTCCAACTTTCTGCTGATGTTCCCCTGGGGGCAGAGGGGAGGACGACCCCCACCACCCCAACAGGAGGAGATCTGGAAAGAGTGCTGGGCGCCTGGGGTCGGGTCGGCACGGCCCAGCCCTGGCTGTTGGGGACATTTGGAAGCGAGTCAGTGCCTTGGAGACTCTCTTTCGCTCTGGTTTCTGTTTTTTTCTCTCTACCTTTCAAATAAGACGATAAAGAAATATTTACAAATTTTTCTTCTAATTGAAGGAATAATGCATGCCCATTGGTCAAAGTTCAGAACATAGAAAAGTAGGATGAAAAGCGGGTCCGATGCGGCCACTGCCAGTAGCTTGGTTTAAGTTCCTCCTTTCTCCCCTCCCTGACATCACTGAAACCAAACTTCGTTACCAAGGCTCTGAGCTGAGGTCTCTACCCTAACACCGCTGGGCTGATGCGCTAACTTCAAACATTCCAGAGATCCATTTAAAATGCCAAGTGGAGGCAAAACCCGGCCAGTGGCTGCCCACTGACACAAGCTTTCGTCTGCAAAAGAAGACCACTGCATCCCCTCCACGATACCCTCATTCTTTTCTCTCATCTGAGCATTCAGCACGAGGAGTGGGGCGTGCCAGCCTCCTGGTATCAGCGCTTCAGGTGCCCGAGAAGAGCGTGACTACATGGCAGTAATGAGGAGGGCAGCATGCCCGCGGTGGCCTTGCTGGTGACAGTATCCTCCCAGGGGAACAGCTGAGGGCTTCTGAACGAGGCAGCGGGGCCAGTGCCCAAGAACGAGCTTCCGGGAGCTCATCTCCTTGAGCCATGAGCCCGTCATTTGTCTCAAGATTTATATCCACATTTCAGAGGCAGAGCAACAGAAGACGGGGAGAGGAAGGGAAGAGGAAGTTCCTCCCACACTGATTCACTCCTTACAGGGCTGTGCCAGACTGAGCCAGGAGCCAGGAGCTCCGTCTAGGTCTCCCATGTGGGCGGCAGGGAAAAAAGCACTTTCCCAAATGCATGAGCAGGAAGCCAGATAGGAAGTCGGGAAGCCAGGAATGAAACCAGCACCCCCATATGGGATGCTCACATTGCAAGCAGCAATTTAACACACAGCATCATCAGGCCCACCCCACCCAGCTTCTTCACTGCAGGTAACAAAGTGGTGGTGGGAACGGCGGGTGAGGACCAAGAATTCTCCTCTCTAACCTCCGCCTCAGCCTGGCCTCTTCCCATCTCCGCTGCCCAAATCTGCCCCTCGGTGTCTCCCGGGCAGACATAGTGCTGATAGTGACGACAAGGAGGAGGAATGGTGATGACAATGATGGCTACTGACAAATGGTCGTGACAGTATTGGTGATCAGGAATGGTGATGGTGAAGATGGAGCATTGTGGTGATATGCTTGTCCTGGGGAGCCAGCAGGTGGTCCAGGACAAGCCACAGTGGGAAGGAACTTTGGGCCTTAAAGCTGCTTGGGGGGTCCCTGGCCAAGAGAACTAGAAGTCCTGGCCAGTGCCACATAGAGCAGCTCACTGAGAAAACCACCAGCCAGGCCACCCTGCAACTCCATCGGGAAACGGCCCGCACCAGGGACACAGGGTAACAAAAGCAATTTGCAACCTCCTCTTCAGAAGAATGCAAAACATCTCCCACAGACAGTGAGAACAGCTTGCAAGTGCCAAGGTCCTGGCCCAAGAGAGGCCGACCCAGGGCATCTGCAGCTGCCAGTCTCCATCAATGATACTGGAAAGAAGACAGATGCCCACAGAGGTCAATGTGGCTGCCACACTGGGTCCCACCCTGGAGGCGAGGCCCCCACAGGACTGCCCAGGCCACGTCACCAAGCACAGGACCCACCCCGCACTATCACAGGCTTGGGCTTTTCCTGTGGGTTCTTAGTTAAATCTGCTGCCACAGCACCCTGAGGAGAGGGGTCCAGTCGTGCTGCCCTTGGCAGTGCCACATCCCAGACTGGGGGCTTCTTCAACAGTGCACGGCCACTCTGCCAGCAGCATCCTTCCTGCCACATGGAGGTAACAAGCAGGGACAATGACGCTGGCTGACACAGGAGAGATTCCAAGAGGGTCTCACTTCTCCAGGAACGGATTCCAGGGCAGACAGCACACAGGAAGGCCAGGGAGGGGCTGGCATCCATTCTGTTTCCTGGAAGGGTCTGTGAAATGCAGCAAGCGAGCAAGGCAGATTTCAAGCATGACAGGAGCACGGTGCCCCAAGCCACTGGACCGCCGCCTCCCCTCGCCTGCATCTGAACCCAAGGAGGCCTCCCAAGCTCCCACGGGGGATCAGGGTGCTGGTCTCTGTACATCTGATGCAGCACCCTAGGTTCAGGGCCATTGGGGGTGCATCAGGGACCCCAAAGTGCTTCTCCAAGGGTGTGAAGTTGGGTAACCCCAGGTCCCAGGAGGTGGCCTTTCCTGGCTTCATGCACCACCCAGCACCACCCTGCTCTGCACCTGGCACCAGCACAGCCCTCCCCTACACCATGTCCTTTAGCCTCCCAGGCACCGTCATGGCCCTCCATGGCATCGTCCTGCCCTGCACCCAGCACCATCACAAATCCACAACACCACCTTTGCCCTGCACCAGCATCAGCACAGCCTTGCCCTGTACCATGTCCCCTAGCCTCCCCAGCACAGTCACAGCCTTCCCCAGCACTGTCACAGCCCTCCCCAGCACTGTCACAGCCCTCCCCAGCACTGTCATGGCCCACGCCTGCACTGTCACGGCCCTCCTCAGCACTGTCACAGCCCACCCTGCAGTGTCACAGCCTTCCCCTGTACCATGTCCGCTAGCCTTCCCTGTACTGTCACAGCCCTCCCTGTACTGTCACAGCCCTCCTCAGCACTGTCACAGCCCTCCCTGCAGTGTCATAGCCCAACCCTGCACTGTCACAGCCCACCCTTGCAGTGTCACAGCCCTCCCCTGCACTGTCACAGCCCTCCCTGCAGTGTCACAGCCCACCCCTGCAGTGTCACAGCCCACCCCTGCACTGTCACAGCCCTCCCCTGCACTGTCACGGCCCTCCCTGCAGTGTCACAGCCCTCCCTGGCATCATCCTACCCTGCATCTAGCCCCATGATGGCCCTCCCCTGTCCTGCCCTGTCCTGCCTGCAACACCTTGACCTTGCCCTTGAAGAGGCTACTTAATGGCGGGGGCATGATCACACACCCCTGTGACAAGTCATGCTCACACTTGCTGTGCCCTTGCCTTATCTGAGGGGAAGCCTAGACCTCTGCTGGTGCGGGAGCCAACCTGGGCTCAGAGGGCATCCCTCAGCTGACAGTGCGCAGCGCAGCAACTCCCGTGCCCTCATCCTCTGTTGCAACGTGGACCCTTCAACAAGAAAGGAGAATTCCTGATGCCCACTCCAAGAATGCCCCTCCTGCCAACAGGAGAGAGGCCATGGGGACTGGGTCATCTATACCCAAGCCAGGCCCCGTCTCCACACCTCGGCTTGTGCCAAATGGGGTCTCCTCCTGCAATAATCAGAAGAGAAATTCTTCATAAAGGCACAGGGTGTGGGAGTTCACGGCACCCAAGCCCTCCCTTCCAGGAGCCCCAGCCATCGCCCAAGAAAGCTGGGTGGCCCCTGACCGCTCAGCACCGGGCTGGACCTTCTCTGCTTGGAGAGACAAGAGGAAGCAGGCCAGGGCCAGGCAGCAAAAGGGTGTGGCACTGCCATCCTTATAGGGGCACGAGAGGAAGGACCCGCCTTCACTACGGGTTCTTCTGCTTTCTCTTGACGGCCTCCAGCTGTTCATTTCAACTCCAGCCTGCTTCAGATTTTCAATTAAAAAAAAAATGGCAGCCTATGTGACCAGATAAGACCAGATAAGACTCCCCGAGGTCCCTGCAATATCAGAGTGTTGAGTGCCTGGGTTCAAGTTCAGCTCAGACTCCCAATCCCAGCATCCCACCAAAGACCCAGGAGTGCAGCAGGCAACGGTTCAAGTGGCTGAGGTTCGAGGCTGGGATGGAGTTCCCAGCTCCCGGCCTGGGCCTGGCTTGCTTCCAGCTGGGGGGCGGGAGGGATTGGACAGGTGAGCTGGCAGATAACAGGTGTGTGTGTGTGTGTGTGTGTGTGTGAGAGAGAGAGAGATTCTGCCTCTGGATGGACTGCGACACCTTTTTAAATTAGTGAGACAGGGTTTGAAGCCTTAGGCCTCTGTGTGGTTGCTGAAACAAGGGACACGCATGCAGCAAGCCTCCCCCCTCCCCCACCCCGGCCCCTGTCAATCCTGCCAGGACTCACCTTGGCTTCTGAACTCCCACACTCTGCCAGCCCCTCGGGGGCTACAAATACCACGAGAGGCATGGTCAGGGGTCCAGGCAGCACCCCTGGCTGCACTCAGGTGTCTCGCAGGGAGGTGGACAAGCACCCAATTCACCCCAGGGTGCAGAGGGAGGTCAGCCAGCCAGGAAGGTGGCACACAAGAGGCCCTGGAGCCAAAGCTGCCAAGGATGGGCCCAGCGGTGTGGCCTAGTGGCTAAAGTTCTTGCCTTGAACACACCGGGATCCCATATGGGCGCCGGTTCTAATCCCAGCTGCTCCATTTCCCATCCAGCTCTCTGCTTGTGGCCTGGGAAAGCAGTCAAGCACGGCCCAAAGCCTTGGGACCCTGTACCCACGTGGGATACCCGGAAGAGGTTCCTGGTTCCTGGCTTCGGATCAACGCAGTACCGGCCATTGCGCTCACTTGAGGAGTGAATCATCAGACGGAAGATCTTCCTCTCTGTCTTTCCTCCTTTCTGTATATCTGACTTTCCAATAAATAATTAAATCTTTAAAAATTAAAAAAAAATCAAACAAAAAAAAAAAACAAAGCTGCCAAGGACCAGGAAGCAAGAAAAGGCAACTTTCCAGAACCAAAAAAGGGATGGGCGGTGGCCACAGCTGGGACCTGGGGACAGAAAGTGACACAACCAGCACACGGATCTTCCTGGGCTGGGCTGGGCTGTGCTGACAGCTGAATGGCTCTGCGGACTTAGCACTTCCAACAGGCACCGGGTACTGCATATGAATGAAGTCTCCACGCAGGTATTAACTCTTTTAAAAGAACAGGGGAGTTGACACTGTGTCCTAGCAAGGAAACCTACCACCTGCAGCACTGGCATCCCATTTGGGTGCTCGTTCCATTCCCAACTGCTCCACGTTTGATCCAGCTCCCTGCTAGTGGCCTGGGAACACAATGAAAGATGGCCCAAGTCTTTGAGCCCTGCACCCACGCGGGAGACCAGGATGGAGCTCCTAGCTTCAGCCTAGCTCAGCCCAGGCTGCTGCAGCCATTTGGAGAGTTAACCAGCAAATGAAAGCTCTCTTTCTCTCTCCCCCTCTCAGCATCTTCGGTTTTCAAATAAAATAAATCTTAGGGCTGGTGCTGTGGCACAGCAAGTTAACCTGCCACTTACAGTGCCAGCATCACATTTGGGCGCCAGTCCAAGTCCTTGCTGCTGTTTCTGATCTATATACCTACTAATGCACTTGGGAAAACAGTAGGGGATAGCCCAAGGGCTGGGGCTCCAGGCTCCAGGCTCCAGGCTCCAGGCTCTGGCCACTGCAGTCACATGGGGGAAAAGCTAGCAGATGGAAGTTTTCTTTCTCTCTCTCTTTCGTTACAACTTTGCCTTTCAAATAAATAAATACACCTTTTAAAAAAAAGTCTGGGCAAGATGGAATAAAGACATTCAGGGAACTGTGCCATCCTTCCCCCGCCCCATCACCTCCCCAGAGTCAGCTCCAAGGCCACTTTGTCGGGGAGGCTTCAGCCCCCAGCCTGCAGCAGGTGCTCTGGTCCTTGGCACCTCCCACTCACCACAGCCCAGCCTGAGCCCACACCCGGCCATCCCACAGCTCAGCCCAAGCCCATGCCCAGCCGTCCCACAGCCCTGCCTGGAAGCAGGGCCCACAGCAGGTGTTCAAAACACTAGGAGAACGAACCCAGAAGGGGTGGGGCGGAGGAGGGAGATGATGAGATCTGGGTTTTCACAGGGATCTGCCAAAGCTAGGCTGCAGGCGCGAACAGGTGTTCAGGCTCAGCACTGCCACAGCACGGCAGCCAGGAGGGGACAGAGCCCCAGACGCTCCAAGATCCCTACCTTCACAAACAGGAAGAAGACACAGATCCAGCCAGGGAAGTGGTCCCAGCTCAGTTCTGCCCACCAGCGAGAGTCAGCGCTGGGTCCCTCACACGCCCTTCCATGGCACAGTCCAACACTGGTGAGCCTGGTCCTGGACCCTGGGCAGGCGCAAGGAGCCCGTGATCTAGAGGTGCCCTTTGCCTGCCCAAGGAGAGACCTGCTGGCTGCAGCAACGCCAGAACAAACAAGACGGCGCCAGGGCACGTGAGATGTAGGAAAACTCAGGGGAGACTGAGTCGGGGACCCCCCAAAAGCCTTCCTTGCCCTCCTCTTCTTAATAATCTGGAGTCCTCACTTTTTTTTTTTTTTTTAGGAATTTATTTGGAAGACAGAGAGGGAGAGACACAGAAATCTTTGGGGGAGGGGGATGTCATGCCATGACGGCTTAATTGGCTAACCTTCCACCTTGCAGCACCAGCATCCCATAGAAGTGCTGGTTTATGTCCCAGCTGCTCTATTTCATATCCATTTGGGAAAGCAGTGGAAGAGGGCCCAAAGCCTTGGGACCCTGCATCCATGTGGGGGACCCAGAAGAAGCTCCCAGCTCCTGGCTTCAGACTAGCTCAACTCCAGCCAGCGCGACCCTTTGGGAAGTGAATCAACAGATGGAAAATTCTGTCTCTCCTGTCATTCCAATGAAAATAAATAAATCTTAAAGGAAAGAGACAGAGATAAATATCTTCCACCCATTGGTTTACTCCGCAGATGGTCCCAACAGCCAGGATTGGGCCAGGCCCAAAGAGGTGGACCAGGAGCTTCTTCCGGATTTCCCACATGGTACAGGGCCTAAGGGCAGGGCCATCTTCCTCTGCTTTCCTAGGACAGAAGGATGGCAAGAGAAGCCAGGACTCCAACCAGTGCTTGTGAAGGATGGCAGCAAGTTAACACACTCTGCCCGCAAACCAGCCCCCATCGGGAATCTTCTCAGTCCAGGGTGGGAGACCCCTCCCCAGCTCAGGGCACTTCCACTGGCAGGCTCTTGGCTTCCTGCCAGCGTGGGCAGCATGGCAGGAAGAGAAAAATGACTGCAGTACCTGGGAAACGCCAGCACCAGCTCAGCAAAACGTGGATGCGCTGGTGGGTGAAGATAAAAGCCAGCAGCCCCCGGAAGCCCCAGCTCCCGGTCCACTGCCGGCCGCGAGGCAGAGCAGGCCGCCGCAGCACGCAAGAAGCCCTGTCACGCCTCACAAATGCAGACTTCTGAAATGTAATTCACTTGAAATGACACAGCTAAGGCGGGCCTTTCTCAAGGAGTTACTGCACTTTTCAGATGATTAAAAAAAACAAAAGAAAAAGAAAAAAACACCAACTCTACATGCACCCTGCTCTTCTGCACTTCAGAAATCTTGCACCTGCACTCCATATGGACCGTGGGAAGTCACATTACATCCTGCCCACTAGATTAACCCCCGCTGTGGGGGGTGTGGAACATGAAATGAACTTCTCTAAACCCTCATGGTTTTATTGAAAGACACAGAGGTCTTTCATTCACTGATTCACTCCCGGAATCCTTGCGATAGCTGGAGCTGAGCCTGGCTGAAGCCCGGAGCCTAGAACTCCATCTGGGTCTCCCACACGTGTGACAGGGACCTGACTACCTGAGCCATCGTCGCCTGCTGCCTCCCAGGACCTGCCATAGCAGGCGGCCGGAATCGGAAGAGGCATCAGGACTTAAATCCAGGCACTCAGCTCCGGGATGTGGGCATCCCAAACGCAGTGCTGACCACCCCTAGCAAACAGTCCCTCACAGAGCGCAAGGGGCACCAAGGCAGCCCCTGATCGCATCTTAGTCTCTCCCCCGCCACTCCCGGATCAGAAATTCGGCCCACAGGAAAAGGACAGGAGCAGCCAAGGTCCACAGACACACGATTTGGGTGAGGTAGCCAGTGAGATGGTAGCACAGTGAACCACCCTCCCCCCAGTTAGGGGAGCCTGCTCACCCCTCCCCCCACGCGCCTCCTTCTCCAAGGTGCACCTGCCCAGCCGGGACCACGTGGGATCAGGCGTCCATCTGAGGCCCGTGGACAGCAGCATTCTAACACATACCTGTCCCACCGTAGCCCAGCTTCCTCCAGGGCTCCTGCGCCATCCCAGGTCCCTGAGGGACCCTGGCACTGAGCCACTTACACAGATGTAAGACCCCGGGAGTCACAGAGTGAGCAACAGTGGAGTGACAGGCGACCACAGCCTCAAGGCACGAAGGGCCTCCACACCCAGCCAGGGAGCTGCAGCATGCTCGCCTAGCCCGGTGTGCGCACCAGAGGGAGCCCACTCCTCCACCTCCGCCACCGATCCTGCACAGCTCCGGGCCAATAAAGGACAGTGCAAGCCATGCTCCGGTTCCTGTCCGAGTTCTCTGGAACCCACCCCGACCCAAGAGTGCACCCAGGAAATACACATGCATCCTGGGCTAAAGTTTGGGGGTGACTCTCTTCTTCCCAACTTCTCCTGGCTTCTCCAAAGGCAAAATGACCTTCTGGGCATCTGATTTCCCCAGTGCCAAGGCTCAGCCATTACCAGGAGCAGACATCCACGCTCTGCTTGCAACAATGGCTGCAGCACAGAGACCCCTGCGAGCAGGTGAGGCTCCTTGCAAACCTGGCTGGAAAAGGCCCCAGTCCTTCCCTCTCTCACATTGCCCAACAAAACATCCTGAGCCCAGTCATCAGAGGCTCTTTTGAAACAATAACAGAAATAAGAGATATGAGACCGGCCCTGGCTGAGTACAGTCACACACAACTCATTCTCCCAGGCAGAGAAAGTCACACTGGTTGTAATACATATATATATATATATATTCGTAAGTGAATCTGATTATGGGAGGGGGGATGTAGGATTCAGGGCAAAGACCATTCTCTGCAGGAGGATATAAAAATCATTTGATGAAACACAAACAGGCGGCACCCTCACCCTGTGCCAGCCACGCACCGCAGCTTGCCATGACGTCCTCCTGAGCGGCCATGGAGCTGAGCCCTCGGGCCTCAATCCCCCTGAAGACCACACAAAGGTCCCGAGCCACAGAGGTTCTGCCCACCGGGTCCTAGCAGCACGTCCACCGGGCACCCGGGAAACGCCACGGAGCCTCTCCTCCTCCCTGGCTCAGGGCTCCACTCTGCCAGCCTGGGGTGCCCAACGGGTGGGATCCAGGGCTGTGGCAGCAGCCCATCCAGGGAGCAGGCTGTGCTGGGAGCTGGTCGCTGGGAGCAGCTCTCTCCAAAGGGGGGGAGGGGCGGGGAACGCGAGGGTGCAGCGGTGTGCACACCACCTGTGCCTGGGTTTCCACACAAAATCGTTTGAAATGGTGGTGAGGAACAAAATGGAAGGGTCTCCGGCGGACCCCCAGCCTCCCGCCCCCAACCGACGGACGGCAAGGATAAATGCCTTCCTCTCCATGGAACTGCGCCAGTGCGCGGGCCAAGCCCCGCAGCAGAGCGCGAAACGCACCACCCTCACAAGGGGCTGTGGGGCTCCAAGGAGCAACACCCTCAGGGACGGCGCACTTGTTGAACAGAGAGGCCCTGGGGCAAGCGGGGACTGCCCACCGCGCTGCCAGCCGGAGAGGGGAGGGCAGCCCGCGGCCCTGCATGCTGGAGGCCGCACCGTGCAGAAGCTGAGCGAGCAATGAGCACACCCGCAGCCGAAACTTTCTCGAATCTCCTCGCTTCGCAGACAAGTTGGGGATGGCAGAGACGCACAAGCAACGCGCAGGGGGCGACGAAGGAGGAAAAAAATGTAAACCAGAGGTGGAAAGAGGAGCAGGCGAGAGCGGCTGATCCGATTACCGCAGCACCTACTACGCGCGCGACACAGAGCTATCTTTAGTGCGTTCCCGTTTCTTCCCGCACCACTGCCCCAGGGAGAGGCTGACCCCATTCGAGAGTGCGGTGAGTCCAGCCCGGGTCAGGATCAGGCTGGGGCTGTTTGCCGCTCCTCGGTCCCGCGAGGTCGGCGCCGTGCCGGACCCCACCCCTGGCCGGAGCGCACCCGGACCCACGTGGGCCGCGCGTTTCTGCTCCCTGGTGCCCCAGCTGCCCTCCCGGGCTCCGCACTGCGCCGACGGGCGGGGACTGGGACACTGGCGTGAGGGGGCTGCCCGCCCACGCCCACCCCGCCACCCCCGCGCCGCAGCACAGCTGCTCACACCCGACAACGGCTCCGCGACGCATTTCCATAAACGCAGTCGGAAATGTACACCCCCCCAACCGCACACACGGATCCTCCCCCCACACATACACACGCGCGCGCCATTCCGGAGACACCGACGGCCCTCGCGCACCCACAACTCCACAGCGCGGGGGAAACGCGAGCACACGCAACGCAGTCACTCACGTATGCACACGCACATACATGTACACGCACCGATCGCCGCGCGCGCCGGCTCTCACGCCCGCAGCCCAGCACTCCCCGCAGCCGCCCCTTCTTACCGGCGCAGGACGCAGTCCGCTGGCTTCCCGAGCCCAAGTTCGGCCGCGCGGGTGCTGCGGCGGGCGCGGGCCGCCGCCTGGGACAAGCGCCGAGGCCGGAGGGAGCTAGGAGCGCCCGCGTCCGTGCGTCCGCAGCCACCGCGCCGGCCCTGCGCTCATCGCCACGCACAAAGACAAAAGGGAGCGGGCAGCCAGCGAGGGGGCGAGTGGAGGCGCCGCCGGCCGCGTCCGCCGCCCGCCGCCGCCGCGGCCCGCCTGCCAGCGCCGGGAAGGAAGGGCCGCGAGGGCGGGCAGGCAGGCGGGGGCCGGGGCGGGGCCGGCGGCGGGCGGGCAAGTTTCCTGCGGACCCGCCCCCGCTGCCCCGCCCCCGCCGGCCCCGGGGCGCCCCCCGCACCCCGCCCCGCCGGGAGTTCGGGGCGGGCCGGGGCCGATCCCGCCCCCCTAGCCCTGGGCCTCGGGCCAGCGGCGGCGAGGCGGCCCCGGGAAGGACGGCCCGCCTCCGCAGGAAGTGCGGCCCGGGGGCCAGCCCCCGGCCGGAGGCGCGCGCTGGCCCCGGTCCCTCGCCGCGGCCAGTGTCCCGCGTGAGGGTGTCTCCCTCACCCCACACTCCACACCCACACACACACCTGGTTCCGGCGCAGGTTCCCCAGGCTGGCAAGCTAGGCGAGTCCCCGAGGCTCCCTAGCTCTCCGTCCCAGCACACCTGCAGCCCGGCCGGGGAAGGGGCCGAGCTGGGGATCCTCAGGCTCCCGGCTAAGCAGGGGGCTGGACGTGCGTGGCTCGCCGGGTTCCTGGCGGAGCGCCGCGGCTCTCCTGCGCGCTTGCTACGTCTCCTGCGAGTGGCACCTGCAGCGACCCCCCGCCCCTGGCATCCCCGCGGACAGGTAACCACAGAACCAGCCGGCGGCCACGGGAGGCTGGAACTCAGCCTCCTCCACCAGAAACGCTGCGGGGAGACACGCGGGAGGAGCCAGGAGGGAGCATGGGCCCCTCTCCCTCTTCCTCAGCCTAGTCTCTGCGCCGCGGCCGGAGCCACAGCCTAAGGCCAGGGGTCCCCAGCAGCCCCGCAGCCGGGAGTCACACAGGGGCTGCGCCACCAGGGTGCCCTGGCTGCCTGCTTGCCTGGCAGGGACCCGCCGACCAGGACTCTTGGTAGCTTCCGTAGCATAGGCGCCGGGAGGGTGGAACAGTCTGCCAGGTGACCGCACAGAGCACCAGCCACTGGGTTAGCCAGGGTGGGCTGTGTTAACCCCCCAGTCCTCACTCAGCTTACCCTCGGGCCTGAAATGGGGAGGAGCCAACGGGGGCTCTATCCTGGCGCGCTGCAGGAGTTTGACTCCCAGGAGAAAGGCAGCTGCGTTGCCCTTGTAAGCACAACCAGTAACCCAGTCTTCGCTGCGCTGGCAGCCTGAATCAACTAGCTGTAGTGCTGGCTGTTTCGCTTCCGCTCCAGCTCCCAGCTCATGGGCCTGGGAAGGCAGCCCAGGATGCCATCCCACGTGGGAGACCAGGATGGCATACCTGGCTCCTGGCGGTGGCCTGGCCCTGACCCGGCTGTTGCAGTCATTTGAGGAATAAGCCAGTGGATGGAAGACCCCCCAACACAACCCCACCCCAAACCGCTTAAAGAGAAAGATGGAGCCCAGGGGGCTATATGGAGACAGCACACATCCATCATTCCTGCCACATTCATTGGCAAGGATCTGCTGCAGGGCCCACACCTGGCTGCCAGCTCTGGGAGGTGTGGTCTTCCTGAGTGCCCAGCTGGGGGAGCAGGTGCCGAGACCCTGCCCCAGAAACTGAGCAACTAGCTTTAAAACTTAAAAAGTAACTCGATTCAGCTTTCCCATTGCTCACGCGTACTGCCCGCCAAGCTGAGCCTGCCAATTACAAGCCTGGTGTTTCAGGGTCTCTCATGCCTGGCAGATTGGCCTCTTCCCTTTTGTCCCTGCTGCTCCTTCCTGATGAGCCCTCCCCCCCCCCGCCCCCGCAGCTGGGTGGAGGCAGGGTAGCCAGGAGGCGCATGGGGATTTAATAAACTAGAGCAAGAACAAAAGTGAGTCCAGATGAGGTGCTGTGCTCCTCTCCTGGGGCAGCCGCCCTGAGTTCCACAAGCTGCAGGGCCCAGACACCAGAAATGCACTTCACGGCTTGGGGGGCTGGCACCCTGAGACCAGCCAGGGGGCAGGGGGCTGCTGTGGGCAAGGAGGAGCCTCCCTCCTGCCACTCCCACGCATAAACGCCACCACCACGTGCTGCCTGCGAATTCACACGGCGTCTCTGTTCCAATCGCCTCGGGTTTTTAAGATTACTTTATTCAGAAGGCAGACAGAGAGAGAGACCGAGAGAGCAAGGTCCTCCATCCACTGGTCTACTCCACAAAGGCTGCACCGAGCTGGGCTGGGTCATGCTAGAACCCAGAGCCAGAAACCCCAGCCCAAGTGTCCCCTGTGGTGGCAAACGTCCAAGCCCTTGGATCAAGCTCTTTGTCCCAGGCACCCACAGGGAGCTGGACTGGAAGTGGAGTAGCTGGGACTCCAACCGGCGGTCGTGTGGGATGCTGGCATTGCAGGCAGCAGGTTTATCTTCCACTCCACAACACCAGCCCCCGTGAAACAAACTTCGTACCTATTCAACCATGGTGACCACTCCAAGAACCCAGTGGAAGGGAATCCTGTCCGTCCTAGTGTAACTGGCGTGTTTACGACACAGCATAACTGAGGTTCACCTGTCCCTTCTGAGCAGGGTACTGTAGCCCCACAAGATGTGCAGGCCACGCCTCCACACCTCCTTGTGCACACATGGGAGACCCAGAAGAAGCTCCTGGCTCCTGACTCCTGGCTCCTGGCTTTGGACGGGCTCAGCTCTGGCCGTTGGCGGGTGCAAGTTCCCAAGGCTTTGGACCGTCCGTCCCAGAATGCTTTCCCAGGCCACAAGCAGGGAGCTGGATGGGAAGCAGGGCTGCCGGGATTAGAACCAGCACCTTTATGGGATCCTGGTGCGTGTAAGGTGAGGACTTTAGCCGCTAGGCTGCCGAGCCGGGCCCCATTGATTCTCTGTGGAATGGCTGTGACATTTTGCCTGCCGTCACTTGGCCAGCATGCTGGCTTTGTTTCTGGACTTTGGGATGCATGGTTGGTCTTTGCGTCTATCCCGTTGTCAGTCAATGTGCTGATCACCATAGCTTGGCGGTGAGTTTTGCAATCAGGAAGTGTGTCTGGCAGCTCCATGCTTCACTTTCAAGATCCAGGCCGTCCTGGCCACTCGGGGTGCCCTGCCCCAAACAAGCCTCATTCTGTGGGGAGTCGGACATTGCTGTCTTCGAAGCACTTTGAGGCGCGTTCCCTCCAGCGTTCTCCAGATGATCTGCCCATTTTACAGCCAAAGGAAAGGAAATGGGAGCCACTTCTCAAAACTGAGCCCACACGGGTGATGAAGAACCCACATCTTGTCAAAGATGCTTCCAGCACTGCTTAGACCTAAGTGCTACCCCACAGGGGAGACCATGCAGCTCGGCTCATCTCCCTCCCGGTTTCCTTTGTAATTACAGAGTGGAGAAGCAAGCAGGCTTCCCGGAATAGAGTGGGCGAGGCTGTCCCTCTGGCTGCCTGCACTTCCCCTGACCCCAGGCTCTCGGGCAGAGGCAGCACAGGACTTCCCTGTAGCCTTGGCAGAAGAGCTTGGGGAAGTGGAGGCAGTTGGGGAAGTGAGGGCTTTGCGTCAGATCCGCCCGGCCTGAGCAAACTGGTTGGTCAGGCCGTCTTATTCGGCCCTGGGAGCGGCTGCTCCTGGATAGAGGTGATGAGCAGCAAGGAATGAGGCTCTGAGGTACCTTCTCTCATTGCCAGCTCCAGGAAGTGTCCCAACTCCAGGGACACTTGCCTAGGAGATGCCAAGTGGTACCCCGCCCCACCCCAGACCCTTAGAGACGAGGCTGTTGAGCCGGTCAGCAGTGTGCTGCAGTGACCCACAGAGGAGACAAAATTCTCCCTCCCCACGTGCAGGAGCTCACAGCAAGAGGCGTCTGTGGCCAGCAGCGAGCGAGCCCTGGCTGGATTCCCCAGCAGCTGGCCTCGGCCTCCCCAGCTCTGCCGACTGTGTCCTGGCAGCCCCAGCAGCAGCCACAGGCCAGGCTCCACCTAACTTCCTTCCTTCCAGCCCTGCTCTGTCTGCTCTGCCACGCCTCTCCTGCCACAGGGCAAAGGAAGGAAGCCACCTCGGTGGGTTCGTGTCTCACATGGAAGAGGAATTTCCACATGGACAGGTGGGTGAGCAAAGCAAGTTTTATTAACGACTGAAGCCTCCTGCCACGGCAGTGGTCAGGAATGGGGACTCCAAGACCCAAAAATCTGGCCCCAGGGGAGTCTTGTAAGCACCTGTTTGGGGGGAAAGGAAAAATGCAACAGCAGTTAGTAGTCCATCAGCGGGTGGGGACCAAACTCAAAGGGCTGGAAATGTGATCCGGTCTGCTTGCTCAAAACGGATAGTCATGTGAAGGTGTGGCTGAGAGCTGCTTGCCTGCTCGTGATTAACTAAACCCTCCGACTGAGCGGAGCTTGGTGTTTTGTCATCTCAAGGCAACTTCTGGTGAGGAGCAGGCATCTCGGGCCCTTTCAAAGAGACCTCCCTCTTTCTTCAACCCAGTGGGGGCCTGGCCCTGACTGCCTGTCCACTCCCTTGTCACACCAGGACCCTGGACTCACTTGTTGCAGGAGACGCTGCTTGGAAATTCGTCACACAGGAGGCAATATGGCGGTAAGTGTGCCAGCCAGATTTAGTGAGGACAGCACACTGGACAGACCAGGCACAGGAGGTGCCAGGTGAGGGCTGGGGGCCCTGCCTTAGCTCTCCACCCCCCTCATCGGACAGGAGTTCTCCTGGCTGTGGGTCTGCATCTTCATTTCTCTTCTGCCAACCCCTTTATCCCATGTTGCTGACTGGGGAACTTCCTGGGCATGGAATTCCTCAAGCCCTCCCCCGCCAAACTTCACACTGGAACCCAGATGCAGGGCAGCTGGAACTCCCCAGGCTGCCCCTGGGGGAGGGCTGGGACCCAGCCAGCCAGGTTCTAATGTGTGTATGCTTCCACGTGGGGAGTTTTTCTCCCAAAAACTCCCCATTTCCTCCACAATCCCCCCACACCACCATTGCCTAACCCAATGCGTACATAGCCTGGTGTCTGCCTAGCAGCCCTGGGAACCCAGCACCTGACTTTGGTCCCTGAGAAGCACCCAGCTTCCCAGACCCCTGCACCAAGTTGCGCTATGCGGACCAGGGCACAGGCATGGCAGAGAGCGCCTCTCGTGGCTGAGAACTCACATGTGTGCTGAGTGGCACTAGCAAAGAGACCGGATGGGCTCCAAGTCAGACAGACCTGCACCAGCCTCTTTTAGCAGGTAGAGACTTGACCTGCCTGGGGGCCGGGGGAGAGGTGCAGCGAACCAGCAACAGGTGCTTCCAGCAGAGAGGTCCTGCCTTCACTGCTCTCCCTTCCCTTTGGCAAAGGAAGGTCTTTGTTTGTTTGTTGATTGATGTGTTTTATTGGAATGTCAGATATACAGAGAGGAGGAAAGGCAGAGAGGAAGACCTTCTAACTGCTAACTAACTTCCCAAGTGTCAGTAATGGCTGGAGCTGAGCTGATCCGAAGCCAGGAACTTCTGGGCCTCCCACGCAGGTACAGGGTCCCAAGGCTTTGGGTCATCCTCGACTGCTTTCCCAGGTCACAGGCAGGGAGCTGGATGGGAAGTGGGGCTGCCGGGACATGAACCAGCACCCATATAAGATTCCAGTGCATACAAGGCAAGGACTTTAGCCACTAGGCTACCACACCAGACACCTTTTAAATTTTTTATAAAATTCATTTTACTGGGCCCAGCGTGGTGGCGCAGTGGTTAAGGTCCTCACGTTGCACGCCCGGGATCCCATGTGGGCGCCGGTTCTATCCCGGCAGCCCCGCTTCCCTTCCAGCTCCCTGCTTGGGGCCTGGGAAAGCAGTCGAGGATGGCCCAAATCCTTGGAACCCTGCACCTGCACTGGAGACCCGGAAGAAGTTCCTGGATCCTGGCTTTGGATTAGCGCAGCACCGGCCATTGCGATCACTTAGGCAGTGAGTCAATGGACGGAAGATCTTCCTCTCTGTCTTTCCTCCTCTCTATATATTGAACTTTGCAATAAAAATAAAATAAAATAAATCTTTAAAAAAAGGAGCTGGATTGGAAGTGGAGCTGCCAGGACTCGAACTTGTGTCGCTGTGGAATGGCAGCACCACAGGTGGCAGCTTTTCATGCGGATCCCCAGTGCTGCCTTCAGGGGTATTTCCTTAATAACTCCAACAGAGCCCTCACCCAGGGACAAATCAGTGATGGATGCTGTAAAAATGAGACCCACAGTTGATTTTTAAAAGATTTATTTATTTTGAGCCTGGCGCAGTAGCCTAGTAGCTAAATCCTCACCTTGCATGCACCCAAATCCCATATGGGTCCCGGTTCATGTCCCGACTACTCCACTTCCCATCCAGCTCCCTCTGTTTGTGGCCTGGGAAAGCAGTAGAGGATGGCCCAAAGCCTTGGGACCCTGTTCCTGTGTGGGAGACCTTGAAAAAACTCCTGGCTCCTGGCTTCGGATCGGCTCGGCTGCAGCCATTGTGGTCACTTGGGAAGTGAATCAGCAAATTAAAGATCTTCTCTATCTCTCTCTTTGTATCTCTGACTTTCCACTACAAATGAATAAATAAATATTTTTTAAAAGATTTTATTTTTTAAAATGATCTTACTTAGTTGATTAGGGTACAAAGGGCCAAGGGCTGCAGGCAAGTGGGTAAGACCGTTGTTTCCACACTAGCATCATTTTCCCCTGTATCTGGGGTCAGGGGAGAAACACAGGGAAAAGCCCCACCCAGCCTCCCACCCATCCCACGTCCCCGATGTGAGGCGCACTCCGAGGGTCCTGCACAAGCAGTTTCATAGTGCAACAGGTCTGAATTGCTGCCAATCTCGCCGTTCCAATTGCAATGAAACCTGTTCAGAGTCCACTGGCAGAGACAGGCTCTCCATGGTTGGGGTTCTGAGATCAGCAGTTCAGTTGGAGGGATCTCCAAAGAAACTTCATCTGAGATGATCCCAAACCTGATTCTTGCGTGTGCTTGCCAGTACAGGATCTGGCACTGTCCATCGCCCCCATCAGCTTATGCACATGCTGGTCGTTGCAATTTCTGGGTCCGTTCTGTTTCCAGCCCCGTCTACCACTTGAACCAATGGGTGTTGTCGTCCAGCTTGATCCTACCCACTTCATACTCGGCCCTCACGCAACACAGTGGGAGATTTTCTTGTTTTTATTGGAAAGGCAAATCAGATTTAGAGAGAGAGAGAGGCAGAGCTCTCCCATCCGCTGGTTCACTCCCCAAATGGCCACAATGGCCAGAGCTGAGCCAATCCAAAGCCAGGAGCTTCGTCCAGGTCTCCCACATGGGTACAAGGTCCTGAAGACTTGGACCATTCTCTAAGCAGGGAACTGGATGGGAACTGAAGCAGCCAGGACATGAGCTGTTGCCCATATGGGGCCCCAATGCTTGCAGGTGGAGGATTAGTCTGTTGAACCATGGTATCGGTCTCCTTAGTTGATTTTTGACAGAACTACGAAGATAATTCAATGGGGGAGAGAGAGAGGGAGGGCAGGAAAGGGAAGCCACAGGAAGGGGAAAGGAGGCACGGCTTGGGACACAGGGCTGATATCAGAAATCAGAAGTGGTGACAATCACACAGCTTCTCAACAGAATTAAAAAAAAAAAATCATGAATCACATTCCTGAATAAACACTGAAAATACGAAGAGCAAGACTGCCCCGAGTCGTTCAGGTGACGGAGTCCAGTGGGAGGCAGGCTCCTGGTCACGTGTCTTCCTCGGCTGGCTCGGGCTCGTGGCGCTGCATGTTCTTAATTCTTGCAGGCACATGAGCATGAAAGACCTTCCCCAGCCAAGACCATGTGCTTTTTTTTTTCTTTAAGATTTATTTATTTATTGGAAAGTCAGATATACAGAGAAGAGGAGAGACAGAGAGGAAGATCTTCCATCCGATGATTCATTCCCCAAGTGAGCGCAACGGCTGATGCTATGCCGATCCGAAGCCAGGAGCCAGGAACTTCTGGGTATCCCACACAGGTGCAGGGTCCCAAAGCTTTGGGCCGTGCTTGACTGCTTTCCCAGGCCACAGGCAGGGAGCTGGATAGGAAGCAGGGCTGCCGGGAATAGAACCGGCGCCCATATGGGATCCCTGCGCATTCAAGGCGAGGACTCTAGCTGCTAGGCCACACCGCCAAGGCCCAGACCATGTGCTTATATAAAGTGAGAATGGGGTCAGCACTGTGGCTTAGCTTGTGATGCCAACAGCCCATAAGGAGACCAAATCAACTGCCAGCTATTCCACTTCCCATCCAGCTCCCTGCTTGGAGCCTGGGAAAGCAGTCGAGGATGGCCCAAAGCCTTGGGACCCTGCACCTGCATGGGAGACCTGGAGGAAGTTCCTGGATCCTGGCTTCCACTTAGCCCAGCCCTGGCCATGGCAGCCATTTGGGAAGTGTACCAGTGGATAAAAGATCTCTCTGGGGCCTGGCGGCGCGGCCTAGCGGCTAAAGTCCTCACCTGGAACATGCCGGGATCCCATATGGGCGCTGGTTCTAATCCTGGCAGCTCCACTTCCCATCCAGCTCCCTGCTTGTGGCTTGGGAAAGCAGTCGAGGACTGCCCAAAGCTTTGAGTTCCTCCACCCACGTGGGAAACCTTGAGGAAGTTCATGGATCCTGGCCGTTGCGCTCACTTGGGGAGTGAATCATTGGACGGAAGATCTTCCTCTCTGTCTCTCCTCTTCTCTGTATATCTGACTTTGTAATGAAAATAAATAAATCTTTTTTTTAAAAAAAAGATCTCTCTGTCTCTCCTCTCTCTGTAATTCTACCTTTCAAATAAAAAATAATTAAAAAAAAAATATGGGCCTGGTGCGATAGCATAGTGGTTAAGGTCCTCGCCTTGCATGCCTGGGATCCCAACTGGGCTCTGGTTCTAATCCTGGCAGCCCTGCTTCCCATCCAGCTCCCTCTTGTGACCTGGAAAAGCAGTTGAAGATGGCCTAAAGCCTTGGGACCCTGTACCTGCGTGGGAGACCCAGAAGAAGCTTCTGGCTCCTGGCTTCAGATCGGATCAGCCCCAGCCATTGCGGCCACCTGGGGAGTGAACCATCGGACGGAAGACCTTCCTCTCTGTCTCTCCTCCCTTCTGTATATCTGCCTTTCCAATAAAAATAAATAAATCTTTTTAAAAAATAAAGTGAAAAGTGAATTCCACAGAAGAGAAAGATCCAGGTGGCCCATCCACCTTTGGAAGACCCCGGCCCGGTCAGGGGCCAGGAGCGGGAGAGCTCATTTCCCACCCCTCAGCAGCAGGAATGGAATGTGGGATGAGATCGCCGCTTTTACCTGCTCAGGAACACGAGCCAAGAATCTGGTGTTGGTGCTGCCACTCTGTTCCTAGCGAAAAACGCAGAGCAGAAATGGGACCCCAGCTGCATTTTCTTTTCCAGGCAAGACTTGCAAGACTCCCTGCATTGTGTCCTGCCTCAGGGAGAAGCAGCTCCCTTTTGGGGTTCAGATAAGCAGCCAGCAGACACCCCAGGTTTGAGATAAGCCCCGCTCTCTAGGTGCCATGATCGGAGGGTCCCAAGAGGCTCTGGGGACAGGGGTCTCTATATCCATCTGTGGCAGGTGCAGTGGGGGTAAGCGGGACCTCTCCTGGAGTGTTACAGGTCAATGACAACGGATGGGTTTGGATCCTCCGGCATCCTCTTCCCCTCCCCAGAATGGGCTTGGGCAGAAGCTTCTGGTCCCCACCTTCATGTGGGGGTGTAGCCCAGCAGCAAGGGGAACTCAGGAGCATTTTGTGGGCAGCCAAGCAGCTCATGCACTTTTGCCTTGGCTTTGCCACAGGCTGTGAGGGAACAGGTGCTGGGGTGAGACAGAGGGATCGTCCCTGTTTGCAGGAGGGGTTGCTTGGCAGTTCAGGTTCCCAGGAAGCCCAACTCTCCCTTCTGAGCCCCCAGATAAGGCAAGAGTGGTTAGGGAGGCGGGCACCATGCCCAGAGCCCGGATTAACTGGATTAGAACTGCAGCTGCCCATGCTGCTTTGGGGAGGGCATCATCCATGGTAGCCTGGGCAGCGAGTTCCTGGCATCTCCGGGCCAGTGCCGGGTCTCGTACTAGCGGGGAGGGGGCTTGAAGGAGCAGCCACAGGCAAGAGGGTTGTGGCAGAGACCTGGCCTAGCCCTGGCAGCTGCAGGAAGCCACCATCTCAGCCTTAACCCAGCGCTGGCTCACCTCCGCTCAGTGCATGGTGCCCCCCACACTTGGGCACACCCCAACGGCCCCAGGCTCTGGACACCTGCAACTAATTTCTCTCCCACAAGCTGACTCTGGCCTCAGGACCGGGGTACTCCACGGTGGGCAGGCAGTTCCCACCGTCCCCCTGAATAGCTACGTCTCCCTGGAGAAGCAGCAGTCAGCACTGCTGTGCCCAACCAGCTGGGTTCCTTCGTTCTTGCTGCCTGGGGCTCTCACCCCCCAATTCCTCCCAGGTCTACCAGTTCACAGCCCCGCTGATCTCCACGGCAACATGCATGCTGTTCACTGGAAGGTAGCGGAGGTCAGCGGCCTGGTGGACCAGGCTGCCTGGATGAGAAGGGACAGATGAGGCAGGGACATGGGGACACAGCAGGGCTGCGGGGAGCAACCAGCAGCTTCACTGAGCCCCAGCAGGGGTGGGAGGCCCTGGAGGGGCTGCCTGGAGGCTGCGGGGATGGGAGAAAGACATCATGCTGAGGAAGGCATGAGTGCATCATGGGAAGGTAGGGGAAATGCAATAGAGGCAGTGACGTGGAGAGACAGGGTCAGAACATCCAAGCTGGAGGAGGCTGGGCCCCAGCACACCTCCTGAGCATAACAGGGAACCCCACAAGAGTCTGGAAGAAAGGAGGGGTTGGGAGTGCAAAGGAAGGTGTTTGAGGGCATGGCCTGACAGCACTGCACATGAAGGGCACTGGCTGTTGGTGGAGGCACCAGGGGGTTCTCAAGGCCCCTGAGCAGTGCTGGAGGTTACTGGTGACCTGTGGGGCCATTGCAATGTCACCAAAGAATGGACCCCCCCCAAAGGCTGTGGGACTGTCTCCCAGATCCAGAGCTACAGGCTGCCCTGTAGGGGGCCTGGACCGAACTGGGACAAGCCTGGGGTCCCAGGTTAGGTCAGTCTGCTGTGAACATCAAGACACTTTCCATGGAGAGAGAGCCAGAGGACAGCGGCACTAAGGAACAGTTTGTGAAGGGAGGTGGAGAGTGCTGTCACAGACGTCCAAGGTGGGTGCTGGGGGACAGGCAGGCTCCTGGTAGATGCCCAAAGCACACATCTGCTCAGCCCGGGGATGGAGCCCCTAGGTAACGCTCTGCACCCTTTAGCTCAGCTGTTGGAGCTGGGCATCAGAGGCCAGGCCAGAGACAAGGGGTTCTGAACCAAGAC